GGAACTGTTACGGCGACTATTTCATACGAAGTTTATTCACGGAAAAATGTTATTTATTTCTAATGTGTCTGCTACTATTAAAATAAATAATTTACTAATTACAAAAACACTTCGACTTGTACTACATATAATGCAAGACATTTATGGTGATTTTACTTCGCCCGTGGAAAAAAAAAAGTCGACGTAATAGTAGTCTATAGTAGACCGAAATTCCATTGTTTTCTTTTCCGCGTACTTGCACTGTCRGTCACTAATTATACATCTTCGTTTCATGGGTCAAGTAAAATCTATATAGTAGTCTACTGTTTCGTTTGATAGTGTTTTGGAAAAAATACTAATGCCTTAAAATCTTTTTATTGTATGTATTTATTTTTTAACCAAAGCATACATGTACATAAATTAGATTCTATACAAACCTTTATGAGCTTTCAGATATTTCACTTCGTTTCATCTAAAAAGTTATTTCGTACAGTAATATTTGTTTCTGTTAAATACATCAWTAAAATCTGCAACTTAAAAGATCTTAAAACGATTACGTTATTTAATCAGTCAAATATAGCAGTGTTCCTTGATAACAGACCTATTTATACAGGGTTAGCCCGCTCATTTCAGTGTTCAAATATTCACAAATACCAAAGGGTATAAAGGTAAAGAATGCACAACTTCAACAAAACACTTTGAAATTCCATTGGCCTTGACTGGTACATATGTACGAGTATTCAAAAAAATTTTGAAAAAATCTGAACGAAATTCAAACGGGAGTATTTGTGTTTTATGAAATAGGCAACATTACTTAGTCAACATGTCATGTCCAAAGTCAACTTGATCAAGTTGATCAACTCGTCAAGTGCGTAATAAACTTGACTTTTTTAAAAGACGAGTTGACGTCGACTTCACAAGATGATCAACTTGACTCGAGTTGACTAGGTACAAGACGAGTTAACTTACGTCATGGGTATTGGATAACCATTCCTTAATCTCACGTCAAACCTTTTACACTGTACTGGGTTCCCTGGGTCATTTCGAGTCTTCAAAAATGAATATGAGATAAATTCGATGTTTATGATACCATCGGGACGATAGTCTAAGCTTTGATTCATTGAATTAACGGCCCAAAAAGACTCCAAATTGGCYGGAATGTATTAGACCAAGATAACTTTCAAATGTCGTAGCATTTATTCCAGTATTTTTTTAAATAATCCATGTTACAAACTCTTGGCAAAATACTCACGGAAACGCAGCATGGCCTATATGTGGTTTTGCTATCATCTTAGTAAGCTAGTGATTAATTCATTTGCATATTCAGAACGCTCACCATAACGTATCGCGGGTTGGAGGACAAAAATTCCCCTTTATTTTTTAGGTGAAGGGATAGAACGTTTTCAGCAATCTCTCCCCCCCCATATCATACGGCCATCGATATATCGCAAAGGTCTCTCTCAAAACAGGCTTAAAAATACACTAGTTTAGCTAAGTTCATTTTGCTCCTGTCTTCCGCGCCTGTATGTAATGCAAGTTCTATTTTTATCCGCGAGACACAAATTTCTTCATAARATTTTCACGCACAAGAATGGGAACTTGAACGGCAAATTCCGTTCTAGGATATTCAAAGTGACTTGTATTTCGGTTTATTTTCYTCCATGATCATGGTATTTGCAATAGACCCCTTCACAGTTCCCTGCGCCATCTTGAAAGGTAGCCATGCCTGTGCACCGAAGCGAGACGAAAGTGAGCTTGCAATGATAGATACCTTTTTTTTACACCTTAGACAATTATTCGCATGCCTTTATCATTGCAAGCTCACCGTCCGTCTCGCTTCGATGCAAAGGCACGGCTACCTTTCAAGATGGCGCAGGGAACAGTGAAGGAGACTATTCCAAGGTTGAGGGGAAACCTGGGCCGAATTAGTATTGCAGTGCATTGTGGGGCTATCTAGGAGACATATTTCTAAGATGGCGTCTGTTTCGTCGCCTAAAAGGCCTAAAACAGTCCCACAATGCACTGCAAAGCCAATTAGACCAAATTTCCCCTCAACYTCAGATTGGCTATTTACAAATTCATAGCATGGCACATTTAAGATGTTAGTAATTGAATGTCCCCAAAGCAGAGGCAAAGGCAACCATGCCTCCCGTGGAAGAGGGGKACATTATTACTAATAATTCCCGAAAGTGTCATGGTATTAGTTTGTAATGAGCGCAATGAAGTCAATGGGTCCAACAAGTGTTTGCTTGTTGAACAGTTTGTAGTATGGGGTCATTAGATATGAGGGGGAAAAAATATTGGGTCCATGCAAAACAGTCATGTTTTCGTCGATTTTGATATACATATCTATTTCAAACAAAAAATTGGCTAAGTTTTTTTTGCATGTTTACGTTGCATACCAAGTCTGAACTGCACTATAAGCGATATGAATAATACAATACAGCGAATGGTCATAATAAAATCGAAATTTTGTCTGCACGTTCTTATGGCATAATTTCGTCAGAGCTGACATTGAAGCATTTTAAACTTAGTAAGCAACACGCAACATGCAAATTGCAACAAAACCTTAACTAACCTTTTTTTGAAATAGCTGTATGAGCCAAGACCTTTCAAACGCTTAACATGGCGCTGAGCCTTGGTCTAGATCTCATATTAATAGAAATTAGTAATTTGCCTTTTTTCTAGGGAAAGTTGAATTGCTGGTTTTTGGCTTGAGCTAGGTGCATACGTGAACATTGGCGGTGTCGTGTGCGGTAGAGYTAATGCATCAAAGATTCCCTACAGCTTGATATAAGCCCTTTCTTAATTATGGACTATTAAATGTTTATCAAGAAAGGCCTTTTTAGCGAACCCCTTATTACAATATTCACATATATGGGGTCTTACCCCAGTGTGCTGCAAAAGATGAACCTTTAAAACRTTTCTGAATCCAAATGTCTTATCGCAGTATTGACATCCATAAGGTCTGGCTCCGGTATGTGTGCGAAGATGTTCATCTAGATTACACTTTCTTACAAACGCTTTTCCACAGTGATCGCAYTTATAGCGTTTATCCCCAAGATGTCTTCGAATATGGATTGTTAAATCCCCGTTACAATAGAATGCACTTTCACACTGACWGCACTTGTATGGTTTTTCTTTGGTATGAGTTCTAACATGACGTTCAAACTCACTAGAGCTTGTGAAGGTCTTTCCACAATAAGAACATTCCATAATTCGCTTTTGTTTTGACTGCGTGTGGGTTTTTTCATGTCCGTCAAGGTTYTCTCCCTTCATAAGCTTTCCACAGTAACGGCATTCCGATAACTTTTTCTCGTTCTCCTCGCCCTGCTTTCTTGCTTGTTGGTGTTTTTCTAGGTGGTTGATGAGATAACCAGGTTTGGAGAAYTCTTTACCACAAATATTGCACTTTGTTTCCTTGCTCCTTGTGTGCCACTCAATGTGTTTGTCATATAGGCTTTTAGACGTACATTTTCTGGTACAATAAGTACATGGAAAAACCTCTCTAGGCACTTTGCCTTTTGTTTGCTTGCGCTTGATAGATTTTCTTACTTTTGTTGGAGACTTTAGAATTTCACTTTCGTCACATTCATTAACGAGATTATCTTTATCGTCTTTACCATCATCACCACGTTTGTCATGGTTTTGATTTTTATCATTATTATCATTACGAATAGTGACATCAACAGGTATGTCTCTTTTGCCATCATTATCAACACCAATAGAATACCCATCTTCACTGGTGCTATCATCTCCATGATCAGTAGTACCACTGTCGTCACAATTTTCGTAATCCTTACCAATATCGAGTGTGTCGTCCTTGTTATTGCCTACATCATCAAACMATGACCCTGGCTCCTCATTACCTGTGGTATTTCGTACTTGATTACATGTCTCGTACGCGACAAAAGTCTTTCTTAAGGCTTTAGGCTTTCCTAAATTGTCAGAAACACAAGATACATGTATAACTTGATCGGGCGAAGAAGTATGAGAAACAGCTACTGAGATCCCAGCTTGGCTCCTCATTTCTTGTGCACAAACTGTAATAGCATTTGACATCAGAGATGCAATCTCTTTATTTTYATCAACACCAATAATTTCTGTCATTTCTGTCAAATGACTTGTTTTCTGTTGCAGAGTGGGAAMACTTTGGGCTGTGTTTTCTGTTTGTGTTGCAATAGTTTGTGAAGGMGGACGCTGTAAAAGTACAAGAAAAGTTTACCGTTATCTGAGAATAGACCAGTTTCGAATTCCAAATTACCGCTGTGTTCCTTGATTACAGACTCATTTGCACAGGGTTAGCCTCGTATCAGTGTTTAAATATTCACAAATACCAACGGTAAAGTAAAGAATGCACAACTTCAACAATACAAACACTTTGAAACTCGACGGACCTTGACTGGGACACGTGCACATTCTGCACAAACTCGAGGCTAACCCCGTGCAAATGAGTCAGTAATCAAGAAACACAGCGGTAATTTGGAATTCGAAACAGGTCTATTGAATTTTTTTACCACAATCAGTAAACAAATATGGATAATATGTTTTTGTAACTCCTTCAACAACAATATTAGATTCATTAAGGAAACACAATAGAATTATTTTTATGACCTTGAATAGTTTTTTCAATTTTGATAAAAAATTTGATAATTTGCACGAGCTTTGCACACAAGCTCTCATTTCCAAGCTTTGCACAAGCTTTAACTTGGATTTTCACAGCAAAACCTAACTAAATTTTTAAGATTTCCAGGCAAAATGAAAACATGTATCCAAACCTTTACCAAGCAGTCAACAATATTTGCATCCRTGTTGTATCAGATTCATAACCAATTGCCTGTGGCTTGTGTTGTAAATCTGATGCCGCTTATGTCGTAAACATTACTTAAATCCTGCATTAAAGCGACGTGTCACACTAAGTAGTACAAGCCAAATTTTGCAAATGTTATCAAGTTTTCAAAAGTCACAAAGCCAACATGAATGGTCAGTGAGCGACTTGACAGTAAGGCAATTCAGATTTTAGTATTTACTGTGAGTGAGATATGAGAGTCAATGCTTATTGATSKTACTAATGATAACCGTGGTGGATTCAGGGGTGATAAGGGGGTGATTATCCTCTCACCCTCCTCTTTCGCTCCTCCTCTTACTAAAGGTGATTGTGATGATTTTGCAACAAAGAGGCTTTAGAATAGAATTACAAGAACTAGCTAGTCAACTTAAACAATTATATTATTATTTTGATATTAACAAAAACAATAATGAATTTTCTCTTCTCATTGAAAAGATAAATTGACTAAATATAATTTATATTGTATCAGTTCTATTATTTTCAAATAAAAAAATAAAAAATAAAAATAAAAAATATAAATAGGATTTAGCAGTTACATTTCGAAATGTGTTTTTATATGAAAACATTYAAGATGCTTCAGATAAACGTTTAATCTGTTTAGTTGAAGCTCTGATATATGAATATCCGATTAATAGCCCACTTCCAAGATATGCTTCGCTTGTCGCGCACAAAGGTTTCAGTACGAGGCTATGTGCTAAGTTCACTGAGCATTATGCAMGAGGCCTTTGCATGTGACGAGGGAAGCATATCCTGAAAGTTACACATCAAGTGGTCCCACTTTTCCCTCCAGACTCCAGTAAAGATGAGTGTTTTGGTTGGGATTCCTGTAAACGTGCCCAGAGAGAGGAGCGGGGAGAAGGGCGAGGAAAAGTAGGGACTGCAGACAACACTGTAAGAAATGTATTATTGTGCTTAGAAATCTGTTGATTTTCCCGAGAACTAAGAGCCAATGCAAAAAGAAAAAAAAGAAATAGAAATTCTTCAAATGTTCTTTGATGTGGACTTTAGGTTGAATAGCCACTCGAGTGATTGTTGATCATTTTGAACCAATTTGCCAACAAACAACATTTGAGGAGTTTAAGGTTCATTACAGTGTATATCTGTAGTTTTTTTTCTCCATCTACATTCTGMATTTGTGCATCTAAGAGGTACCTAAAAATCTCTTTTTTTGTGCTTGACTAAGCTACAAGTGGACTATGTCTGATAGTCCATGGTAAAGAAAACTGCCCATTGACCTTTTAGTTTGTTTTAATGTTAAAACAATAACCTCTCATCCGTGTAAGTAATAATAATAATAATAATAATAATAATAATAATAATAATAATAATGGGGTTCTTATATAGCGCATTTTACATGGTCTCAATGCGCTTCACAATAATGACCAGTGGAGGCCTTTTCAGGCCGCATATTAAGGYGCTAGTAGCAGCTGTGCAGCTTACAATCATGAGTGATTTGTTAGTAAGTTAGTATTATTGCTAGTATGCCTGCAGATTGGGATAGGCTGTTATTGAACCGGGAGACAATCCCCTACTCTTATACGAATAATTCAACAGGTTTGTTTATGTTGTAAGTTATGTGTGATAATGCTATCACCACAGGGAGCCCAATTTTGATAAAAGGAAAAGGTGGAAATAAAATTGGAACAACTGAATAATTAAATATTTATTAAGGTCAAAATAATGTCCTCCTTAATAGAAGAAAAAGTAAAATATCAATAAAAAATATACTTGAACAATTTTTTCTCATGTGCCTTTGTTTTCATATCTAATTCCCCTATGTTATCGTAATCTAATGTCATCGATCTATATTCATAAAATACTCTAACTTTAAAACATGACATTACTTCTTTCGAACCTCAAACAAAAACTTGACTAAAATGATCCCTAGGATGGGTGATTTATTATTTAAAACTCTTTTGGCTCTTTCTTGCAGATTTTACTGACTCATATTTTTGGTGCAGAAAGCCAAAATACTTGCAAAATAACTACAGTGAAAACTAGGCTTTAACTAAAGTCAGTTGGTTCAAAAAGAGAGGAATTAATATGAGGTCAATTGTTCATGTGCAACAATGTTACTGCTATTTAATTATACGCATGCAAACTTTGTAGTTGCAAGCTGCATGCTTAAGATTGGTTTTCCACTGCATCCAATCAAAACTTATAAGCCAGTACCTTTCATATTTTTGACTGGCGGCTGCGGTCAAAAACCAAATTTCAACTGACAAATCTCAACTACAGAGTTTGCATGTTTATGAAAATAGCATAAATTGGGGACCTTTAAGAGCATTTTTTTCATCAAACCTCTGTRCTGACCTATGACCGCACTGAGGGTAGATAAAAACTCTGGCCTATRATTGCATCTAGGTTGGAACACAGTTAACTCAAATAGATTAAACTAGAATATGTTACCTAGGTTTTGTGGAATAAGGAGAAACCATGAGCACAGAGAAAAATTCATAAGTAAAGCGTAAGACTCAACAATCTTTACTCACATRTGATGCTGGGTACAGGAATTATAATCCTGATGTACCACAGGTGAGCAGCCATTGCGATACRCCACACCATGCTTGAATCCCCAATGCTTAATTTTTATTTAGATTTTTTAAGTCGTTAATGACTCACCTCAAAACAATGTCCAGAACAGCTCCATTTCCAGTCTCCAGTTCTTTTATTGAAACAGAAAATGACTGTTTCTGAATCACAAGTACATCCATATCTATCACCAAATATTGGTTCAGAGTCCATGACAATATTGATTGTTGACTACCTCCTTAGAGAGAAAAGTAAAAAAGATTACTAAAGGTGATTGTRATGATTTTGCAACAAAGAGGCTTTAGAATAGAATTACAAGAACTAGCTATTCAACTTAAACAATTATATTATTATTTTGATATTAACAAAAACAATAATAAATTTTCTCTTCTCATTGAAAAGATAAATTGACTAAATATAATTTATATTGTATCAGTTCTATTATTTTCAAATAAAAAATAAAAAATAAAAATGAAAAATATAAATAGGATTTAGCAGTTACATTTCCACACATTGGTTCAATCTTCATCCACAAATATTCCATTTGGAATTTCAGAGATGACAGAACAGTTTTTAAAATGGGGAAGGGGTGCATTTCCCCCCTCCCTCTTTTGAGGACTTTTTTTATTTCTAGGCAAAAATGTAATTCTCATGCAAAGTGGGGAAGGGGGGGCTAAAGACCCCCTCCCCTACCCCTCCTGTCTCTGCCCTCCTGTCTCTGCTGTCCATGAATTTAGAAGTTGGCTTTTGTTGCTCGTTGCTTGCCCTCCTGGTTGCGCTGCTTTGGGGTTGATGCAACGGGTCCGCATGGTATGTTTAGATCATAATTTATATTTCTAGGAAGTTACTTATTTTAATCAGTTTGTAATGTGCCTGTGAGCATCTCCCTATGTAATACATGCAATATAAGTATTAAATTATTATTATTAGAACTAGAGATCCTAGAGAAAAACCCTTGAAGCACAAGAGAGAACCAAACAACTCAGCTCATATAGGACCCTGAGCCCCACAGGATTTAAACCTGGGTTGCAATGGTGAGAGGGAAGCACTCTCACGAACTACGCAAACCTTGCTTTGGATTTATAAAAACTACATATTACATGCAATTGCATGTTGAGTGACGTACATTTTTCTTACCTTAAAACACACATTAATAGTTACAAGGAAAACACACTAGAAATGAAGAGTTTTCTAATTCTGATATAAATCATGTTCATTTGCATGAGCCTTAACTTCAATTTTCTTGGGCTGCAGATTCATTTTTATCTTGAAAATTTTAATGAAACAAAAAAATATACGACACTAGAACACTGTGTCACTACACACCCACACACACAGTGCTTTCTGGTCTCTGCTTTAATAGCTTGAGCACATTCTCATTAGAGTCACATGAATGTTTTTTCTCTTATAAGAGTTATAAGAATATATTTTGAGAAATCTTTGTATACCTTGAAGTTCTACCGTGATATTAGTCAAATTGAKGAAACAGAGTTCTTGATCGAAACACAATATATATTTTAATACGGCTCTGGAACCCTGGAATCACGGAGAATGTTCATGTTATAGTGTGTCTGTCTGGGGGGGGGGGGGGGCACTTTCACGTATTCGGTGAGTGACCCACAATTTGTGTTCTTTATCTCTCTTTTTTGGAAATGAAATATGGCCGTGATCATAGACTCAAAACAACAGAATTTAATTCTTGTTTCGATACACCAAARCCACACTACATACACTTACCTTAATGTTGTTAGCGAACATCAGCAAGAGCAGTAAGCATATGTAAAACTATAAAATAGAACGAGAAGCAAAAATGGCTGCCACARTGACCTTTATACCACAGGTAACCCAATCGTGATAAAATTCGCACAGCCAGCCCACAGGAAGCCCAAGCTTGGTTTCTGTGGTGTCCTGTTATAAGGAAATATACAGTCAATTCAAAAAACGTTGTCGTCGACCGGCTCAAGCCTACGCGACTAGACCGAAAGGAATATGGGTAAAAATCACTGAAGCGGTTGAATATTCGTTCTGAATTAATTGTTCTCGCTAGTGATAAGATAATTGTTCCCGCTAGTAATAAGATAATAATGGCGAGAAACAATCAAATGCATGTCTTTGGGTTTAGGGAAAGAAAAACAAAGTAGTTATGATTCAGTTCACAATT